GTCATCTTAAACTATGACGCTAAAATGTTTTCTCAATTACATTCAAAAATTGACTTTAATTCTTCTTAACGTTGCGCCGGCTAATGCGTGGCCGCGCCACCATAGTAGAGGAATAATTGAAGGGCTAAAGAGTTCTGAGAGATGATCCAAAAAAGATGCCGAGACACACCCATAGCGGGTTGTCGTCAATATGTTAAGATGCAAGAACGGGTAAATCTAGACCTTTATGGACCCTTCTAGCTACCCGCTAAAGCCATTTATCCACCTAATCATCGTGGGATGTGCCTTTAAACTTGCTTGACACTTGACTTGAAATTTCCTTTCAAAGGTAATAATGGAAAACCAACCTCAGACCACTGGTAGTCTTCACTGTGCTGTTGTGGATGCGACTCAAGACGGCCTAAAAGCTCTGAGATTAAACCCCAATGCAAATCTCTGTTATCCAGATGCTTTGGTCAGTTTTCACATAACAATATTCACCGCTAAGAAAGAAGGGTGGTAACGAAATCGAAATAGCGCATGGAAAAACATGCAGAACCGGGCCCATTCTGCTCTATTTCAGCCCACCCTTACGACTCCAAGTTAATTGCCTATACTTCATCGTCTTAGCCTTATTCATCATGTCTGATTACCTTGAGCGATGAGCTCACGTTGAGCCGATGACGCGGCTTTCACCAGCGTCTGAACAGCAGCCGTGATCGATTTGGCTGCGCTGAGAATCTGCTCATCGAAGGCTAAATTCTCATCGGTTTTCTGAAAACGAATTCAATTTAGTTTCTTTCGTGTCGCAAAGATCCTGTGACAATTCAGAGTGCTTGAAGCGAATGAAGAGCAGGGTTAGAGGCCAGCAGTGGTGACGGCACGCTCGATCTTCGATATGTCTAATAGTTCTGGTTATCACTGAACCCAAGAATACCAGACATATCAGAGCTAAAGCAGCCTGTGATGGGGTGGTAACTGTCGTTGTGGTGTTGATTGGTGGGGGTGGGAGAGGGTTAGGAGGGGTGGATGAAGCGGTGAATGGTATAGCAGCAGTTCTATACCGGCACCATAGGCGAAGAAGGAATATGAAGGAGTTGGCGGAATGGGAAGCAGAAGGAAGAGCAAGGAAGGAAACTGCGCACTAAACAAACCGGTTGTACTCGTGGACGAAGCTCAGCCAATTTCACTGCTGCAGCTTCTATCGAACTTGCTGCTCCCATCAATTCGTTTTCAGCCACCACCGTCGGATCGGAGTGGTCCGCCCATGTATCACTCTGAAGGCGGAAAAACGGTCATTAAAGGTTCAAATACACCATCGAATTTACCCGAATTCCATGGAGTAATTCAAAACCCAATTGCTTACCTTCAGCAGTTCGCTACATCCGATGAGGTCCTTCACAGCTCGTGCTACTCCGCGTGACGCATCAAGAAGCAGCTGGCGCGATGACGGGTCAGCATTTCGCGCCAGAACCGTGTGCAAGGCGACAAGAAGACCACGAACCTGAAAATGGGAAGTTAAGCATCTAGGTCGAAACGACAAACGAAGAAGTTCAGCCTACCTGAGCAGCAACATCGCGTCCAGAATCAAGCGTTCTATATCTGGCCTCAGCAGTGTCGGCGTCTGCGGCCGCTGCACGAGACACAATCAGCAGCTCGCTGACAGCAGCTCTGGCTAGATTAGCCGCAGCTATCACATCGCTCTGCTGAAGCGTCTGTGCCGCACCAGCAAGACGAGTTGTCGCGTCGGTGACGCGTTTTGTGGCGCGTGCCAAATGTTCCGGTGTGGCACCGGAGGGTCCAGATGTGCCCTCTCCAGTCTCGTGATCGTAGGTCTAAAAATATGGCAACCTTGTCCGAGGTGCCGTATTTACCAAGGGTCGACGCTTAC